ATCAACTGCAAGATGCTATCCTATCAATATGGGCCAACATTTCTAAAGAATGCTTTCAGCACCTTGTTGAATCAATGCCACGTAGAACTAAGGCAGTTCTGAAGGCGAAAGGGGGTCAAACACCGTATTAGTATGGTGTTCCTAATAATCCTTTAGGTGAGTGTACACTAAAGGAACACTTTGCTAAGCAGTGGTTGTGACTCACCATTAGGGGGCGCCAAGCATTGCAGTGGGGTCCCTTCAATCCCAGTACCTGGTCCAAGGCTGTCTGCCACGATCCAAAACCACTTGGCTGGCTAAGCTGGCCGGAGAGCCTGGTTATTTTAAATACACGCCTGAGCGAGAGAGGAGCGTTGTGTTTATGGTGTGTTTTCAAAATGCACTTACAGGAAAGCGGGCCTGCCCTGAGCTGTTGTGGTCACCATGCACAGTGGCTTGGATCCCCGAACCTGGTCAGATGTGATTCTCCTGGGAACGTGGACTCTCAACGGCTCTCCGTGGCATCGGCCTTCTGAGGGGGGAGCTAGAAGCCGCCTGCGGCCGGAACCCAAAGAAAATATACATAATGAGGTGTTTGAGGCAATGCGACACAAGGACCAAATGACAACGGGTTATATTTCAGGCAGAATGCTGCCACTGTAACTTTTTAAAACGTGCCCTATAATACACTAATATGATTTTCTTTGGCAGATGAGAGCTGGACACGTCCAGTCAGCCTGTGGACTAGCTGGCAGAAGCATCACTCAAGGCCTCATGGGTAAGTTTGCACCCCGAGAAATGCTATGCTACACAGCCTGAATTACTGTCCCCCAGGAGTAACACAGACTGAATCTCACCAGCTATCTGTACCCATAAATCTAACAGCTCCACCTCATTAGGCCGGTTAGCCAAGCCTGAAATTCCAAGACTCCCAGAATGCTCTGCAGCACTCCTTGCCATTACCTTGACCAGAGATCCTCAGGTCGATAATCCCAAGGCATCCTAAAACTGTCGAACTGTCAAACGGAAGTGCTATTTCGCTAAAACGACCCCCATCCCCCACCACAGCCAATCAAAACAGCTGTCGTTACCAGGGGCTGACATCATGGGCATCAGTAGCCTCATGCTGCTGAGCCTGATTCCATGGTGCTCAGTGCGGGGGGTGGGACCTGCCCCAACATCGCAAGAAGCCAAAGTCACACTGCAAACACCGTGTCCATCAAGAAGGTTCTAGAAAACATACAATCTGTCACCCACTCTTATTGAACTGTTCAACTGTTACATCTTATTGAATATATAATGGTTTTAAATTAAAAAATACATTTATCCAATTAAATAAGCACCATGGCCCTGCACTATACTGTAGATAAGTGGTAAAGAAGGCGGATGATATTTTTCAGATTTTCTGATCATTGTAAGCCTATTTCTAAATCGCCAAATACACTTGTATAGAGTAGTGTTTTTCCCACAACAGCAACACAACATATCTCCACAAAGGAACAAAATTGGACCCATCCAAACCACAGACTAGCTAACTGACTCTAAGACCTCGGTTTATGCAGACCGGCATAAAGACAAATGCAAGTAAAGCAAAATTCTGTTTTATGTTATCCATGCCATAACATCATACATTATTTCTAATATATACGTTTTTGTTACCGGTCCGTAAACAGGCAGGTAATAACTAAGATTTATTGCGCTAATAAATGAAATTGTTGAAAGACGACAAAATGTCCTCACAGCTACCATGGTTAGAGGAGGTCAAGTTGAGCTTGACCAGAGCTCGTTTGGCTGAAACTGTGAATTATGATTTTTAAAGTGCAACACTATTCTTGTTTGACGGCCCATCGCAATTCTGCACTCTTGATATGAAAATCACCGAATACATTTTAAGATTCAAAGCTTCAACATACATCGGAAACCATACAGTATTTAAGCTCTTTCAAAGGCAATTGCAAAAGATGGAAAACCAGCTGAGACGCTGTGGTTTGCGGCTAGATTATTTCCAAGAAATGCCAGCGTTTTCTTTTGGGAAACGTTTTTATGATTGTTCAAGAAACATGACTTGTCAGTGGTTAAAAACGTTCCTTCTCATTTTTGACCTAAGTAAAACAGGGGAAAAGCTGTCATCGGCTTGGGAAGCAGTACCAATTGCTTGTTGACTGGAGAAGAGAATACGAAATGTCGGTCCTAATGAATTGTGATATCTGTGTTATAAGTGAAACAGAATATGAAACACTGGGAACGAGAGTGGTTATACGAAACCAAAAACACATAATTTAGTGCGGGAACGAACCATTTAATATGCACTCTTAAAATACAATGCCTGGCCCAGGATGTCAAACTGTGACAACTCGGATTTTCCTTCGCTCGGATTTAACTATTTAGGAGCAGTGAACGCATTTTGTAACTATTCTTAATAAACCGCCTAAAAACTCAGATGACGTATCGCCACGTACGATGATCGTGTTTATTTCTTTGCTGCGTTTCAGGAAAACAACGTGAAAACAAAAAGCTTAGCCTATCTTATTTTGTATCCAATTAAGTTTTGTATCCATTTTTTGGGAGAAAAAAAAACAGCTAACTGCAGCCGTGAATTAGTCTCCAGGATTTTAAACTCCTGTGAGCCGTAGTTCAAGGCGTATTCGTTTTATTTTGACATTTAAAGGCAGCCAGAAACCGAGCGTCTTTATTATGAAGAACAGCAAGTCCCCGAGCCCCATCACATTTTATTTACTTAGTCCGTTCCTTTTTCTTGGTATGTTGGTCTCTGCTCGACCCAGCACCTTTCTGACCATAATCCTCCCTTCACTAGCCCGCCTTTCGATCACAGCTGCATCCGCAGTTTTGTTAGATCCCTGTAACTTTCAAATTCAACTGGACTACGTTTGCTCAGAGTTCAAACATACAACTCGTATCACCAAAACAGTTACACCTTTCACGCATATTAAATATACACTATAGGGTGAAACTTAAACTGAAATATTTTGCAATTGATCGCCCTTAGTAACTCGGAACTATGGTTCTCCGAATATAATCGCGATCATACGGCACGTGCGCGATAATCGGCAGGTTTTTATATGATGGGCGTAAACATTTTCCGCCCATCGTATAAATCTCTGGTGCTTATTGCGCATCGCAATTATGTCGTGAGAGCCCTGCTTGGAATAGACGTGCTTTGGTAAAAGCTAATTCACCATTAACCACATGACTACTACATACCATTCATGAGTCAGTTTTTAGCCGAAACGCAAATCCATAGCCAAGCTGCATCTCCTCCCCTGCCATTCATTAAGAAATGGTCCCTGTGCCTACAGAGACCCTACCTATAGTTCTACAGGCCTATAGTTTAAATCCTGCGGCAGAGCTACACTATATTGGCGAAAGTACTGGGACACCTGCCTTTACACACACATGAACTTTAATGACATCATATTCTTAATACATAGGCTTTAATATGGAGTTGGCCCACCTTTTGCAGCTATAACAGCTTCAACTCTTCTGTGAAGGCTGTCCACAAGGTTTAGGAGTGTGTTTATGGGAATTTTTGACTATTCTTCCAGAAGAGCGTTTCTGAGGTTAGGCACTGATGTTGGACGAGAAGGCCTGGCTCACAGTCTCTGCTCTAATTCATCCCAAAGGTGTTCTATCACGTTGAGGTCAGGGCTCTGTGCAGGCCAGTCCAGATCCTCCACACTAGACTCACTCATCCATGTCCTAATGGACCTTTCTTTGTGCACAGTCATGTTGGATCAGGAAGGAGCCATCCCCAAACTGTTCCCACAAAGTTGGGAGCATGAAATTCTCCAAAATGGCTTTGAATGCTACAGCATTAAGAGTTACTCTCACTGGAATTAAAGGACCAAGCCCAACCCCTAAAAAACAACCCCACACCATAATCCCCCCTCCACCAAACTTTACACAATGCAGTCGGGTAGGTAACATTCTCCTGGTTACCGCCAAACTCAGACTCATCCATCGGACTACCAGACAGAGAAGCGTGATTCATCACTCCAGAGAAGTCATCTCCACTGCTCCAGAATCCAGGGACGGCATTCTTTACGCCAATGCATTCGATGCATTACATTGCACTTGGTGATGTACTCAGAATCAGAATCAGCTGCTCGGCCATGGAAACCCATTCCATGAAGTTCTCTATGCACTGTTCTTGAGCTAATCTGAAGTCCACAAGAAGTTTGGAGGTCTGTAGCTATTGACTCTGCAGACAGTTGGTGACGTCTGCACACTGTGGACGCTTCAGCATGCCTTGTCCCCGCTCTGTGATTTTACATGGCCTACCACTTTGTGGCCGAGTTGCTGCTTTTCCCAATTGCTTCCACTTTGTTATATATAATACCACTAACAGTTGATCATGGAATATTTAGTAGCAAGGATATTTTACGAATGGACTTATTGCACAGGTGGCATCCTATCACCATGCTTGAATTCACTGAGCTCCTGAGAGTGACCCATCCTTTCACAACAGGTGATTGATTTTGTACACCTGTTGTCCTGCCCCGATCGTCTGCTCCTTCCATGTGCCCCGCCCCCTCGTTAACCTCATGTGGAGTCCCCGTGTGATCAGCTGTTTCTGGTTGTTGTCATTAGTCCTCTGTATTTAGTCTGCGTTTCAGTTTGTTTCCCCAGTCCGGTCATTGTAATGTCAACCTGCGTTTGCTGTCTGTTCGTTTATTTTTACTTCCATTAAATCCTGCATTTTCCCCAACTCCTGGCTTCCTGCGCTTCTATCTACGTTCCGTGCGCCATGAGACACAAACACCTGAATTCAGTGATTTGGCGGGGTATCCCAATACTTTTGGCTATATAGTGTACATTCGACTTGTGTATATGATCATTTTAAAGGCAGTTTTTTAAGTTCTTAATCATCCCATATAAGGCATTGAGTGCTTCACCCTCCCCTTCTGATGATTCCATTCATCCCACCTGGAGCAGGTTGTGCTGGATTACTTTTAAGAAACACTAGACGTCCCAAATCTAAAAATGATCAAATAGCTAATTGGTTAGGATTCCGATTGTTTGTCTGTCTAATGCTGATCACGAAGGAAGTTTTTACACCTGTTTTACAGTTGCAATACCATCAGTCAGTTTGTATTTTACACAATTTCACATTTAACCTTTATTATAATCAGCTATTAATGCAAACAATAGCCACAATAAATCAACATCTTTAGCTTAAAATACAAAAATGAGTTATTGCATAATAACCTGATTCGAGCAGGCAAATGTTATCAATTAAAGCAGTGGATAATGGTATTAAGAAATACAGGTTCGTTATTTCACCAAAAAACAGCAGCAGGCAATGGTAAAGTGTCATTATCTTGGACAAAAGTGTGCAGATTGATCTAAATTACAATGATAATACTGATCTTGCACATATAAGCAGGTAATGTGTGACTTTTGCCCTATTTCCAAGATTAATATGGAGGTAGATTAGCAGACTGGTTGCACTAAACCATGATTTTCTTATCCACCATCAACCATTGGCCAAATTGTCGCTAACAAACTGATGGTTCTTGTTCTTTGTCTGCTTTATGCCTTGTGCACCCACGGCTTGATTCAGCCTGTATGAGTAGCTGTGTGATTTGCCCCGCCCCCTCCCTAGCCTTGGTGTGCCTCCGTGTTTGTTTTGGGGCAGCGCTAATGTGATGCTCAGCATCCCTGGGTCATCCTCTGGGTCTGAGCACTCCGGCAGGTTTCGGGGGGTGTGAAAACGCTCGGGTCGCTGATCCCCAGCCGCAGGTCAAAGAAGCGGGTGGAGGTGGTGACACTGCTGTTCTTCGTGTAGGTCTCCTGCACGGGGTAGCAGTCCTTGACAGTGTAAACACCCACCCAGGCTTCATCTGCAGGCAAGGCAGAGAGAGAGAGAGAGAGACGTCTCTGTCTGGATTTCCCATCACTCTCTCCAGCCACACATCAAACATCAGGACACATTTCTGTTCCAAACTAGAAGCCTCATGACCAGGAAAATGCTGAACTGACCAGACTCCCTTTACCTTATAAACAGATGCACATAACTGGCACGCAATTACGCATTCACCTTTAAAAGCGATATGTACGGCAGTAGATTGTCTTAACAGAGCAAATGCGTACTTATTTTATGTTTAAATTACCGTACATCTTAACATTTATACCGCAAATGAAGTGCAAATCAGCATGTTTTTGCTCTCTCAGCTCCCAGCCAGATGTTCCACATTTTTGCTCCCTCCCAGCTGCCGGTGGACTGTCTGTGGGTCTCCAAGGACCAGACAGGGAAACGCTGGTCTATAGGAATCGCGTTTATCATACAAACAGGAGACACCACGTCAGGTAATCTGAGAAGGTAAAGGGCAGAAGCTCAGCCCAGGTCGTACAAACCCAGCTGCTAAGGTGAACGATACCTACTCTTCCGGGCAGGTTTCCGATCTGACCATTCCTGCACTTGGATCATGTCGCCCGGCCCGCCGATGACATACTGGTCTTCGTAGGTGGAATTGTCGGGAATGTCGTAGGGATCCCATGCTTCCGTAAGAGGGATTTTGGAGCACAGCTTGGTGACCTGCTCTATCTGAAAGAGCACAGCGCTCTTGAAAAGATAGATGTACTCAAAGTACCTGCAGAGTGGAAAGAAGACTCATTTACAAATCTCATTTAAAAAAAAAACATCTTTTGGGGGACTGTTATAATTTTGGGCTAAACATGCATTTCTCTCAGTGACTAATAAATGGTTGTAACATTCCTCACTTGGTTTGATGAACTACTATGATATTTATTATAGTAATGAACATGTCATACTGTAATGATCATGTTACATTATTATTACTGTTGTGGTTGTTGTTGGAGAACTGTGGGTTTAAAAACAACCTTATTATTTGTGTGTGTGTGTGTGTGTGTGTGTGTGTGTGTGTATGATTAAATGCAATTTGTTTTAAAAAAAAAAATAAAACACATAATATGAACACAAAGGTTATAGCCTCTAGGAAAGGTTTTATGAAACTTTCATAAACTCACAGACACAAATCCATAGGACCAAATAGCTACAGACAGCAGACATCAGGCAGAGTCGGCAAAAGTGAGAGGACGGAGGCGGCCCAAATGATAGAAACGCAGTTGGTCTCTGGCGCGAGCGTGAAGCCGATCCCTCCTGACGGGCTACTGACGGTTTGGCTGAAGCTGGGGAGGGGCTGCCTCCGGTCCCATGGCGATACCGTCACATGCAACATTGCGTGCAGGCTGCCAAAATGCTCCTGTCCAGCTACTGCTCATCATATTATTATCTGCACCACACAAAACTGAGTAACACCTGTCCCCTCCTCTTCACAGTGTGTATTAGGATTTATAACGCATGAATTAAGCAATGGGGTAGGCATAAAGTTGACTTTGGGTGTGCCATGGGAAAACAAGATGTGGAAGAATTTAAGCACAATAATATAATGTGTCAGGTCAGGTTGGGGAGCGTGAGCGTTGCCGCACCCAGCACACGGCGACCCCCAGGCAGATACACGACAAGCTGACGGTTTGGGCGGCATTTGCTCACCCCTGCCGCTAAAGGTATTAAGTAGACCTAACAATTTCAGCGGCACGAACCTTCCGCATTATTTTAAAAGTCGACAGTCATGAATCCAAATGATTCACGCAAAGACTGAGACAATATGGCATCACGTCCCTATCCATGTAAATGACCGGTAGCCTAGCTACTTTCTCAAAAACACAAATAAAATAATAAAATGACAGAATGAAGATTTAGGAGAAATCCACAATTACTCCCACGAACAGGCAATTCATAAAAATCACCAAAAGAAAAAAAAGAGAGATCACGCTGAAAGATTGGTAATATAGCTTTTGAAGAAAAAATATAACCCCGGTGATATTAAAAACGAGCAGTGAACTGGTGACTTAAAGCCGGCGATTTGTTTGCGTTGGAACAGCATTTCCCAGAATGCCATCGTGTCAACAGCCGCTTCTATGAATTTTATCAGGCGACCGATTTTAATTAAAATCAAATACATCACCTTTACATCATATACTTCGACTTAGACAGATATATGCTTAAACAATTGCAACGCAGAGGTCTAGATAATTAGTTTTACTTTTTGTCAAATTACATGACGACTTATTAGGCTACTTGTCTTACACTCTTAGTACGCTTCCCGATCGTATAATTATACGTACTTCTTACACGGCACATGTCCTCTCTTTTCTTCAAGGACCATAATTTGCTGATTGAGCCCATCATACGACATCATGGCCCGTGTATTCAGCCCAGTGTTGTGGTCGTACTCCACAATCCTCCCCTCCCATTGCACGGGAGCCTGACAAGGCTGGACCGGAGCACCGGCGAAGGTCAGGCTACCCTGCAGCGGCTGTGCGGCCGAGAAGCACAATGCGACGATGACGGTGAAACCGCAAAAATGCATCCCGACGGTAACGACAAGTCACTGCTTACGGAATATTCATGAGAAACAGCCCGTTTAGCGGCCACCGGCGACACTTTCCTCCCTGCGCTGCGCAGGTCTCCTAATAGCATCAAAAGCGCAGTTCAACTGCTGAATCACCGAGAGCATCGAACCAGTCTGTTCGCTATTTATACATAACCCTACAACATCTTAAATTACAATCAAGTAGCCTAATACGAGTAAAATTAATTTCAATCATAGCCTAGGCCTATATGTATTTAGAACGAATTATATGCCTATAAATAAATGTTCACTATATCGTACAACCGAATATATCACAAGAAATTATTAATCTTCAAAATAACACAGACATAGACCTACATGTTTCACGGTGTATGTATAGGCTGTTCAAATAATAATTTAAGTATTTTCACGTTTTAATGCCCCATGTAGGCTATTCGAAAATATATCCTACGTTCTTCGCAATTAAATTATGAACGCTAATTTCATATTCGCATAAATTTCAAATTTCGCTAATAAAATTTTGATGAATTGAAGGGCTGGTAATAGCGATGAATCTTCTTGCTGTCTGGTTATCCGTCCGCTAACAATTTGTCGTTCTAGGAAAGTTTACCGAACGTTACGATCGGGGAGTTTCTACCTATCTAACCTCAGGGAGTAAGCCAGGTTTACCTGGGGCTTATTCAAGTACCGCAACTGGGCCGACCGCTACAACTAACACTAATAATATATAAATAAACGAAGGGCGAGATAGAGCAGCTGGTAACATTGTCGTGGTTTGTATGTCAAAGATCAGGGGTTCAATGTTGGATGGCGCATTCGTAGTTTACACATGTAGCACTTACAGCGGCCTCCATAGTTACTGTCATCCCTTCTAAACATTTGTAAAAATCCACCTTTTGGTGAAGTAGTTTCATATCGCACTGAAAAAATGAGAAAAAATCCAACCTTTCCTTAAAATACATTTGTTGAAACAAAAACAAATCCTTCATCAAGAAATAATTATCTTTAACAAAAACACACGTGCCACGATTATCGGCACCCGTGCTTTTAATAGTTTGTACAACCTCCCTTTGCCAGTATCACAGCACTGAGTCTTCTCCTATAACATTTTATAAGTTTGGAGAATACCAAATAGGGCATTTGAGTCCATTCCTCTGTACAGAATCTCTCCAGATCACCCAGGGTCCTCAGCCCTCTCTTGTACACTCTCCTCTTCAGCTCAGCCCACAGGTTTTCAGTGGGGTTCAGGTCAGGGGACTGAGATGGCCATGGCAAAAGCTTGATTCTGTGGTCAGCAAACCATTTTATGTTGATTTGGACATGTACTTAGGGTCACTGTCCGGCTGGAAGATCCAATGATGGCCCAGTTTTTTAGTTTCCTGGCAGAGGCAGCCAAATTTTGATGTAAAATGCCCTGGTATTTCATGGAGTCCATAATTCCATGTACCCTAACGAGGTTTCCAGGGCCTTTGGAGGAAAAACAGCCCCACAGCATCACAGAACCTCCACCATATTTTGCATTTGGGATAAGGTTCATTTCATTATAGCCATCCTTCTTTTTATGCCAAACCCACCTTATATTTATTGCCAACAAGCTCAATTTTTGTTTCATCAGTCCATTGAATTTGGTCAAAGTTGTAGTAGTGTTTCACAAACTCCAGTTGCTTACATTTGTGGTTAACTCATCACAAAAAAGGGCTTTTTTCTGGCATACCTTCCAAATAATCTGTTAGCATGAAGGGGGCGTCTGCAGGGGCGGATTAAGGTGTACAGAGGCCCCTAGGCTACAGTAGTCTGTGGGCCCCCAACCCCACCCCCCTCCGCGCCAATGGGGGCCCCCTTGCAGGCTGGCACACGTGGGGCCCCTAGGCTTAAGCCATATCTAGCCTGTGCGTTAATCTGCCCCTGGTCGTCTGATAGTTTGTTCAGAGACGTGGTAACCTCAAGATTTTGCTTGGTCTTGTATTTCACCAACAGTCATCCTTGGGGATGTTTTTGCCTCTTTTATGATCCTCCTCACTGTATGTGGGGGAAAAATAAACTTGGGTCCTCTTCCAGGCAGGTTTGTAACAGTTCCAGTTGTTGTCCACTTTTATATTATTGCCCTAACAGTAGAAATGGGAATTTTAAGGCGAGTAGCTATTTTTTAATACCCATTCCCTGATTTATGAAGGTCAACACACTTCTCCCTCATTTGGGGTGTATGTTCTCTTATCTTTCCCATGTTGATGGATGACTAAGGGAATTTGGGCTCTGTGTCGCCTCATGTTCGTATCCCTGTTAACCAGGAAGTCATGGATTACAGCTTGAAGGTTCCTATATTCACTTCATTCAACTCAAAGATGTACAATTTACAGAGGAAACATGCTTCAGTTACATTGTGTTCACTATGATTTCCAGGGGTGCCATTAATTGTGACTCATGTGTTTTTGTTAAAGATAATTATTTCTTGATGAAGGTTATTTTTTCTTGGAATAAACCTGCTAATGAAAGGTTGGATTTTTCTAAATTTTTCAGTGTGACATGAAGCTGCTTCACCAAACGGTGGATTTATCCTAACCCTTTGTACAAATCTTTACAAGGGATGCCAATAATTGTGGAGGGTGCTGTATATGAAATAATGTTTAATCACGAAACATTCTTTTTCAATTTTAATTGCGTTAAAAGGATGTCAAGGTAATATTTAATCGTACCGATATTGACAGATCCTTTGTTAAAATGTAAAATGTGGAAACTACCATCCATTGACATTACAGTACAAGATCGTTCTCTGCTAACTTTGAGAAGACCTTCACACAACGGCATGGCTAACGCTGGGAGTGTTCCCCCGTTAGCTGGTCATTTTCTCGGGGCTGATAAGGGATTTACGTCTAACATTCGTTAGGGTCTCTACCGTCCGACCCTAACCTTTGTGTCGCTTCCCCATTCAGCCATGTGCTGTTCTTTGATGATTCCCCCTTACTGCTGCATAGCTCATGAGTTGAGTGAGTGACATTTAACCAGATCCCCTCTAGTTGTGAGTTCGAAGCTAGCCTAGTTAATCTGTGTTCCCTTTGATTGGTTAATTTATATGAGGTACACCTGTCCCTTATTCTCCCTGGTTTTCTGTTTGTATTTAAGTGAATTCCCTTAGTGGGTCATTGTATTAGAATGCTGTGTTGGTTTTCCTCTGGTTCTGCTCCCTGTGTTGCGCTTTTTTGGATATTTTTGTAGTTTTCGTTTCTCCCCCATAAACCAATTTGTCTTAGAACTCTGGAGTGGCTCCTCACATAATTTCCCCGCCTGCACTATGCCAACATTTTTGAAAATGACTGTATCTTTAAAGGTCTAACACACTGTTAAAAAGTCAGTGAAGCATGTCTTCTGGATTTCACTGTGGGAAAAATAATAAATCCGGCTAAAAACGTACGGGAAAACACGCGTCACTTGTGGTATTGGTGTTCATCCCACTTTAAATCAAGTCACATTTCTTCAGCAACAGCTTGCACGGCTCCCCGAATTCACAAGTTCGACCTGTTGAACTAATAACGGCATTTAATTTATGCGTTTTTTCACATTTCAAATTTGCACATGCAGGTTGAGGTGGAGATGTATTTGGCGGTGATCGCTATTGTACTTGCTTGGTTAGGGGTGACACCGGTGCAGACGGGTCTCTGCGAGCCGATGCGTATCCCGATGTGCAGGACCATGCCGTGGAACATAACCCGGATGCCCAACCACCTGTACCATAGCACGCAGAAAAACGCCATACTGGCAATCGAGCAGTACGAGGAGCTGCTGGGCATCAACTGCAGCCCGGACCTGCGCTTCTTCCTGTGCGCCATGTACGCCCCGATCTGCACCATGGAGTTCATGCACGACCCCATCAAGCCCTGCAAGTCGTTGTGCGAAAGAGCCCGGGATGGATGCGAGCCGGTCCTGAGGTACTACAACCTCAGCTGGCCGGAGAGCCTCGCCTGCGAGGACTTACCCGTGTACGACCGAGGAGTCTGCATCTCCCCCGAAGCCATTGTCACTGACATAGCGAAAGGTTCGTTACACAAGTGTTTGACTCTGATCTCACCTGCTGAACGCGGTTATTACTGATTACACAACTGCATTAATTTATGAATAAATCAGCTTCGCATGAAAATCGGAAAGAGTTTTCTAAATATTTGTATTATTCCAGATGTGGAGGCTGTCGATTTTTCAAAGGATATGTTGAACATCAGGCGGATTACGGAATGCACGACCCCAACATCTGGTTAGTATTCAGCGAGTCTGTCCTTAATTTGTTCATTTTATAAATATGGTATAAAAGTAAGATTTTTTTCCAATAGATGACTGTACATGCCAGAATACGAAACCGACATTATCCACATACATGGAAAAGAAATATGACTACGGTAAGACTAAAACCTCACAGCCGTTTTTACACAGTGTGAGTGAAGTTATCGCTATTACAGTGTAGTTCATGCTTACTGTGTTTATATACAGTGAAACTATTGTGGCGTCTTAAAAGTTTCTAGTGGTCGAAGTATGCTGTTTTCAGCCTGTTTTCATTCTGAACATACTTCCACCCTTGCAGTTATTCATGCTAAAATAATAAGTTTTAGTCGAACCGGGTGCCAGGAGATGACAACATTCGTAGACGTGAAAGAGGTTTTCAAATCCACGTCCCCGATCCCTGAAGCTCACGTGCCTCTGGTGACCAACTCATTATGCGTGTGCCCGGAGGTTGTGACCGGCCAGGACGTCCTGATCATGTGCTACAAATGGCACTCAAGGCGAGCATTTGCGCAATTCACTTCAATTACAACAGTAACATATAGTTGCCAGAAAATATAGGCCTAGATGTTTTACAGAGTCGGTTTAATTTGCATATTTATGATATTAATACGTTTCACAATTTAACTGTATAATACTTGTGTTCACATCCTTTTAACATAAGAATCAACGAAACCTCGTTTTAACCTCTAAAATAACCTAACATTTGCATATTTTTACGGATGTTCTATAAAACAGCAATGCAACGATTCTCTTAAATTATGTTACGAAATGTCGCAGACGGTTCAGAGAACCATTGCTGTCACGCTTCTGTCGAGAGGCTTTCTAACCTGACATGCGTCTCCTCAGGTTAATGCTGCTGGACAGTTGTCTTGTTGAGGGGTGGAAACACCACCTGAAAATAAGGTGCCAGGTAGGTCAGCTGTCCACAAAGCAACCTTCACGCCGGCAGTAGCGAGTATTTTTGGTGTGAACGATTGGACTTAAACGACAAACTTGCATTGTAGTCTGATTAATTTCTCACATTAGAATTCCTTTCCATTAATTTTTTTTCATTACAAATGTAATTTTTACTTTTTTATACATCCTTACAAGCGGTGGGAACAAAGACTACTGGAGCACCAGAGAAGGACCCCAAAGCAAAGGGCTAGGAGCAGGACTCAAACAGTGGACAACCCAAAATAAACAACCCAGGGGCCAAACACAAATGTCAGGCCGTCCCAGAAAACCTTGGCCATCGAAAACTACTCAAACCCAGTACTTTCCTGATGTGAAAGGATGAAAATTAATGTAAAAAGTGGAACAGCACGCAGTGTACGGATTACGCGTAGACTTACCGCCCATTGACGCGCGCCCCCTGCTGCCGATAATCAAGAATTCCAAATCTTGTTTGCATAATCAAATACCACAATTCGCTCATACAGCATTTTTTTTAGCATTTAACATATAATAATTATTTGATTAATCGTATTACTAACAGGATCTCAGTCGTTCGTTATTATTGTGTGTTAATAATCAGTCTAATCAGTTTAGTCAGTTTAAAAGACCTTTTTATTCATAAAAATAAATAGTGGAACACCTGCAATATGGTAAATGTCAATATATGATTCAAATGTATTGTCTTACATTTCATTTATTGCCTTGTCATAGAAACATATTTTAATTCACCCAATATAGTATTTTACAATAGGTAGTTTTGTACTTTCTGATAACATAACAACAACAACAAAAAAACAAACATTTTTTGCTTCATTAAATTACAATTCCCCCCAAAAAAACTCTGCCTTGTGTCTCAATTGATCCAATTTCCCAATAAGATGCTAATTTTATTTGCCTAAATTTAACATGAATATATACTAAACTAATTAACTGAATGCCCAGAATGTTGTTGCATTGTCAGTCTTTTCATTCAATGATTCATTTTTTCTGGTCCCTCAGCCAATTTAAGAGTGTGTCATCACACAGGAATATCTTATGGTTTGGCTGCTTCTCTAGCATCTACTGGAGCTGCGTTGGCATCAAGGTGTCACCCGGAGGTCAACCTGCTCGTCAACCAGAGGGCACATTGGACACAGCTCCAGAAAGACAACTATTTAAAAGTCTGTACAGTTATTTATTTAGTAGATGCTTTTGTTAGGAACGGCTGGAGCCAGAGAGAGCTGTCAGTCAAGCAGGAGGAGCATCCCTGGAAAATGCCCACAATCCTTTGGTGCAGACATGTCTCTCACACGTCACATGTTCACCCTCACACACTCCCTGCCGCTCACCCACTCACACACGCGTTTGTATTCATATATCTGTGGGGACTTTCCATCCATTTCTATGAGCAAAACCCTAATCCTAACTATGGCAACCTTAAGCCCTACAGCCCTAACCTTAACCATAAGTAACCAAACAGTCTTTTGGCATTTTTAGTTCTTTGATTGCTGTCACTGATTCTTGTGGGGACCAAAAAAGTGTCCCCACAAGCTAAAAAGTAACAGGTTTTACCTCAGTGTGTGGATATTTGGTCCCCACAACGGTGTAAATACAAACTCATGCATACACACACACAGGACTAATCCACACTGCTGCATATCCTCTCTACCACCCGGTTGAACTCCTCCGGTTCATCAGCATAGACGTGGTGAGAAGCATGTATAACCTGGGACAGACAAGTGGGGAAACGGGAAACGAAGGGTTAACTGGGCCTCTGCTGTCTCGCAGCTGTGGGGCACCTTACATGCTACTCATTAATTTCTGCTGTGAAGTGGACTTAGAAGTGAACCTTACAGTGCATTAGGCATCGCAGAAACGATATAGTCCTTTCCAGTCTCCCTCACAGCTTTCTGCCCCTGGTTGAACGCCGTCCCCCCCCCCCTCATTTCCCAGCATGCCCTCCTCACCACAATGCGGGTGTAGCTGTCAGGCCGGACCTGCCTCATCTGGTCCCCCGAGCTCCTGTCCACCCAGGACAGCGATCCGTACAGCAGGGTGACGGGTAACCCTGGGGGCAGCAGGTGAACCCGTTGCAGCATCGGCCTCTTGGCCCAGCCCAGAGACTCGCACATGGCGCGGAATCCCACCTCCCCGCTGACGGAGTGACAGAAACGTGCTCCGTTAGTGTCGTCAACGCCGCCCTGGTGCACGAGGGCCTGTGACTGATCCACCAATCTCTCGTACCTGGGATTCTGTGCGTTGCAGTGGTAGATGTAGTCAGTCATGGTGTCGTCATCAAAAAGACTCTCAAACTTTCTTCTGAAGTCGGGACGGAATCGGTTCACCAGCCCTGGTCCTGGGTGCGACAACGACGTGCTTCAGGTTCATCGATGTTTCCTGCTTCGCAGTTCTAACGTACCTTTTACCCCCCATCACTAACCCCAAGGTCCTGCTGCACGAATCACTGCCAGAGGGTTAAACAGACTGGCGACTGATGCCAGCGCCTTCACCCATCGGGGAGGGGCCTGTCTCTTGACGACTGACCTCCCGGAAACTTCGGTGTCAGGCTGGGAGCGTTCCGGAAACCCCCAGGGGTCTGCCAGAATAAGATGGGTGACCCTAAAGAGAGAGGGAATGTCGGCACCAGGAATTACGGACTCATACCCTTATATAAAAATACATTTTAACTGATGCCCACGCTCTTTTTTTAAATGTTACTTCACCCTGCCAAGCCTGCAGAGGCTGCACCCACAGTTCATCCTGATCTAGACCTGGACAAAATGCATGCATCCTACCTCTCAGGATACTGGATGGCATAGGCTGTTGCCAGGTAACCACCCAGGCTGTGGCCCAATAGGATCATGCGCTCCAGTCCCATGGCCTGCCTCCACTGCTCGATGGAGCTCACGTACTGCTCCTCGGCCAGAGTGGCGTCCGAGGGGAAGTGCGGCCGGGAGCTGCGGCCGAAGCCGAGCAGGTCGAAAGCGTGGACCGGGCGGGAGTGACACAGAGGATCCAGGTTCTGGATCCACAGCCCAACCCCTCCCCCAAATCCATGGACCATCACCAGGGGCATCTGAGAGTCTGAGCAAAGAACGGGAGGCCCTGACTCCGTGCCACATTTATGAGCATGGACAGAACAGCATGCAAAATATACTAAATGAACATGTACAGTCATCACCATTCATTACCTGCCTTGGAACGCTTATGAGGGCTGTTATTGGTCACTGTCAGAGTCCAGATCCTCTCCTGATTGGGCAAGGTCACAAACCGGGCACACAGGTTGTTCTTCAGACCTGTGGGACGGGGATTTGTTAGCGAGGCTGACGAAGATCCATTTCCCTGCATGTTCAGGGCCAAAGAAATTATAGGAGCATCCTATGGTTTATAGACACTAAACATGCAGATGTGCATTGAACAGGAACACCTGCAGAGGGCAGGGTGGTCGAGCATCTTTTGACAGCCACCGTATTGGCAAAAGCGGTTAAACTCGTCAGGTAAGCTTAGGGTTAGAGCCTAAGGAACTTGATCAAGCTGAAGATATGGACTCTAAAGGGTTTCAGAGCTGGCAATTCTGCAGGGCAGGCCGCCACAAGGGGGAAGCTCACACGCAAGGATCTTTGCCTCTGCACTTTTCAGCAGGGATGCGGACGTTGGCCTCCAGGATGGCCACCACCACCGCCAGCCGGATGAGGATCTGAGCGGACAGGAGACAGACAGGAGCGCTAGCAGCAGGTTCTCAAAGCCACGCCATGGATAGAGACAGATGTTCCTCCACTGCTACATATAGTATCAATGCGGTTCACTACACTGTATACACAGTACAGACAAAACCCTGGACATCATATGCTTAAGTGGCGTACTTTAAAAATCATCTATTAGGTATTTTAAATTGTTCTTGGCTACAGCAGAGCAAGGTAACGCCTTGATTAAAAAATGCTTTGTCATTCACTGTGACGTTGGTATGCGGTATTTAAAGGGACGGAAGTATCTATTTACATGTAGCGAAAGTTTTTTTTTTGTTACAAAAATTAATAATATGAAAACTTAAGGTGTTCCAAGTACAAAAACCGTTGGCAAACAGAAATAGAAGTGCTAGATGTGGGCTGATTAATGGTTAACCGGCATTAAGGTCCCTTGAAACTTTACTAAGCTCAGGCGCGGGGTGAAAATGTCATTATTACGACGTTCCCGAAATCGCGAATTGGCAAATTACTCTTACAAATTACAAATTAACTGTTTACAGTTAAAACACGCGTATAATATTTATAAGTATGACATATAGTATATTACGCGTATATAAAAATCAATCATCAAAACGTTCACATACTTCTTAATTTAAGACACGGAACCCCGGAATCTATTAACATTAATACCGTTGCAGTTAGTATTAATGGCGCATTTAGGTGATTGAAAAGTGCTTTATAAATGTAATGTAATGTATTATTATTTTTATTATCCATAGCTGCCAAACGATGCGCTCCCGGCTCTCTTCAGAGAAATTGCTTACTCTAAACTGTAAAATAAATGTTTATCTTACAGTAGGCAGCCACTCACTCCGTGTCAATGTCGCTGTCCATCATGGTATAAGGAGAGAGAGCACAGCAAAATGTATCTGACAGGTGGGACGTGTAGTCATGACATCAGGAGCCCGAGAGTGGGTCTATCCCACCGTACGGATATCTACCCCGTTGGCCTTCCATAATCTACGACCGGCTGCCCGTCACAGCCGCTTCCGCACTTCTGGGACCAGGAGGGGCTTGCAGTATCTATCCTGAAAATCCGAATACACATACTCCGATCGTGTTAAGCTACCGGGAACGTTTCCGATGACATTCGTCTTATAAAAACCCAATGATTTCAGGGCAAATATTGCGGCAGACTGCAATAAAGCCTGATACATTTCCCCCACCGAATAAAATACCAGTTCTTTTCATTGTGGAACCACAGTATTCTGGCGAAGGAGCGTAGTCAGAACGTAATCAATGTGACACAAACTTCCGCTTTATGGTCGGAAGTCGCTGACTGACACGTCACTCAAACGCGAGTCCCTCTGTAGTGGTCGGACATTCATTTGGCTGAAATCAGACGTTGTTTTGAGAATAAGGCTCGAATCTGTCTGAGTTTGCGCAAGAAACATGTCTACTTCGGTTTTTTCTGTAATATCTCGGTTTTTGGATGAGTACGTTAGCAGCACGCCAAACAAATTGAAAGTGGTGGACGCTTATCTTTTGTACATCTTGCTGACCGGAGCCCTGCAGTTCCTCTACTGCCTGCTGGTTGGAACATTCCCTTTCAACAGCTTTCTGTCAGGCTTTATATCCTGTGTCGGAGCCTTCATTCTTGGAGGTACGTTGTGTTTTAATGTCACTAGTCGATATTGTTTTTATCATATTTCTCCATCGACCTGCCAAACAAAGAGGTCATTTTCCGACCAAATGTGACGTTTTCGAATGCAGCATTTTCGCGAATAAACGTCACTGCTCTGCTCGCTCCAGGGATTTGTTTTCAGTCTGCAATCCGCAGAAGCGTATAACAGAATGCTGCACCTATTGAGAAAATAACAAAAACTGCTACGATAAAATACGTAGCCGTGTGGAAGTCAAGTTGAGTGGGTTTATTGTCATTTCAGCCATGTACACGGTACACAGCAAAACGAAACATTGTTCCTCCAGGACCATGGTACAAGAAAAAGAACAAAAACAGAAACAACACAAGATGACACAAGTCAGAACAGAACAGGACAGAACTATACAGAGTGCCAGGAGAGCAAAGAGGGAGAGGGCAAGATAAACGCAAGAGCAACAATACAATATTACAGGACACATACAATGCAATCAACAAAAGCAGTAACAGTACTAGTCGGAATGAATACGGTATATGACAGGTACTATATTCTAGCAGCAGAAATGTGCTAAAAATGCAGGATTTGTAAGCAAAATGTCACTTATTGATGCATCAGCGTTGGAGAGAAGCCAGATTAAATATTGGCAGGTACACGTCGCCCTTGTGTTTGTGTATTATCTCCATATCTATGGTGCAGTTCATTCCAACTCCATTCTCTCTTTCCCAGTCTGTCTTCGCATCCAGATCAATCCGCAGAACAAAGGAGACTTCCTGTCCATATCTCCAGAGAGAGCCTTTGCAGACTTCTTATTTGCTCACACAGTTCTCCATGTTGTAGTCATCAACTTTATCGGCTGAGAGATGCCCTATCCCATTGCAGTATGGTAAGCAAAGCCAACCTCACAGCCACTGTGTTGGATTTTTTTAAATGTTGTCTTACTTCAGTGCACATATACACCCTAAATCCAATTTAGATGACAGTTTACAATGTAAAGGGCTGTTTTATGATGGTTTCTTTTTGTACATGTAACTATCATGTGTAGATATACTTTTTAGCTAAGGAATAGAGAGAGACCTATAAAATGTAAACTGTGTACATGCTTACTCACACAGCCAAGAATTGCTGTTGGACATTTGGAACATATAGTCATGTCCTGGACTTTCTTTAATAATTCTTTTTCTTTTGCAGGTACAGGACCAGCATTGTGGTTGACAATTCTGCTAATCTCCTTTATGTGAGATTATGCTGTATCATCGGAGGCAGAGGGAGCATTGAAACCTCAGCCTAACCACTGTAAATTTGGTTGTAAATCTACTATAACCATGATGTACATCAGACCCATTTCTGATTCACTGGAATGTTTGAAATATTCCCTCTGTACTTCTGGCTGCCACTTTTTTTTTACATCAGATACATTTTGAAATAAATGGGGAATAAAGCTCAGTACTTCAATGTTTTGTGTAACCATTTGTGAGTGTGATCTCGTGTGTAACACAAAATGCAAGCACATGACTTTGGGCCAGTGTACTCTCACAGTAACTGCTAAATCTTCTCTTTGTAACTTTGTTTGGGAGAATGAGCCAGTATTGAAGCTTTGGAGGATATAAAGGAAGAAGCTGATATAAAGATATAAATATATATTTATAATATACAGATGCTTCCCGGGTCACAGTGGTCTATGTTGCAAAATTTCGACTTCATGATGGGTATGATTATTCAATAAATTACATGAAATATTCAACACTTTATTATAAAATCGGGTTTGTGTTAATGATTTTGCCCGGCTGTAGGCTATTGGTGGTGTTCTAAGCATTTTTAAGGCTCGGCTGTGATGTTTGTTAGGTTAGATGTGCTGCATTAAAATGCATTTCCACCTTATGTTAGGTTTATCGGCCCTTAACCCCATTGTAACCCGAGGAGCACCTGTATAATATACTATAAAGATCCAGCACCATGTTTAGTTTTTTTTCTGTGAGAAGCCAGTCACATAGGCGATCTAACCAGATGTTGAACAGGTCAACCAATTTAAGTCGGCAGAAACCCAGAGGAACTTCAGGTTGATTAAAGGCAAAGTAAGTTAAATCTACACAATATGCAAAACAAGAAGAGAATATCTTTATTGTCATTGTACATGTACAATGAGATCTCCACCTTTGCTCTTACTGGGATTGTCATATTCCGAATTTCCCTCCGCGAATTAATAAAGAGCCCATCCATCCGCATGATGTTTTTGCGCCCCCTTCTAGCTTGATGAGTTGGGAGTCTAGGAATGCCTTTCACGAGGCTGTGTTTTAACCAGACGCCTCTGTGCTGCGTGACCAAATTCGACCGGCCACAGTCCGTCACCCGGCACTTCCTGTCAGCTAATAATAATCAGCAAATAAACAGCTTAACTGTAATTTACTCTTTGTCAGGCGTGCAGTGACTGAGACATGAATAACACTTTTAATGATCTAATGCATTCCTTTGTTTATGTCAGCCATATTCGTTATTGTACCGTGTTTGTCAGGCTCAGTGAAGTAGGAATCTGTGTCCCTGGCCATTAAAGCCAGCTGCTCCAGGGACACTAGATAACACTGCTCACTTTGGTCTCCTAAATGAATAAACGTAAATGTTTTGATCATTAATATACTGTCATTCAGATTTTTTTTTTCAAACGGCACTCATATAACTCACATGACTGCATTTCATGGTTATAAAAATACAAGTGTTTAATTCACTGGCAGATACAAATTTAAGATAATTATTTATAATGACCTTCCATCGTCTTACTCTGCAGAATGCATACAGGTATCGGTGGAATTTATATGTTTAAAAAGCTGTCGAAAGAGCTAATTAGCGGCCGTGTTGAAGTTAGAAATCTAACTACTGTACTGAGATCATACGCCAGGGGTGCCCAACTCCAGTCCTGGGTGGCCGTAGTCCTGTGTAGCTTAGTTCTTTCCCTGTTCCACCATAAATGATTCAGCTCAAGAGCTGTGTGGTAATTAGCACAAGGAGTTGAATCAGGTGTGTTAAATGAGGGGAAACCCAAAAATATGCAGGGCTCTGGCCCTCCAGGATTGGAGTTGGGCACCCCTGTCATACGCGGTTCAATAAATAAATATGTAATTTCGCCGTACGGCCAGCAGAGGGGAGCAACGCCACATGACGAACCGCACGCTTCCTATGTAGCGTCCCATGGCTGCCAAAGAACGTGAAACACTGACCAGAGAGTATGTCCCTTGCGATTTAGCACAGTATACATTTACCAGAAAGAATTTCATGATGCGAAGAAACTCTGTGTCGATTGAAATTCATTTGTTGAATTTATTATAAAACGAACTGAAGATCACCCAGCTTATTCGTTATGTTCAAAATGACTGTTCAGCTGATCTGTGAGGTTAAATGTTTTTTAATTTTTTTATTATAATTATTATTTTTAACCACAAGACAGTACATGAAGATGTTTATAAATACATGTATATAATTAGGGAGTATACCTTCAGTCATACTACTCAGGACATTGGGTTTTGTAAGTGTCTCATGTAACAGTTTTATCTTTCTGTCAGCTGTACTCATACACTTGACTGTTTATTGTAACTTTTGGTTTGATGTGAGAAGCAAGTATTTTAATATCTTTAGCTCCTCCGTGCAATCTTGCTGTCGACCTTCACCGAGTGCCAGTGGAGATGTTTAAGGTCAGAAGACTGTAGGTCGCAGGGCTGAGGATCGAACAAGTGCGTGGGTGCTGAAGATCTTATTCTCACAATATGTGGGAATCTGTGGAGGGATGTAGGCTGGGTTGCCATGGCTACAGCTGCACTACTTAAGCTGATGAGGTTAATGTTATTTTCGTTATTTTTTATGTGGCAGACAGGCTGTTCTTTGCAAACAGGCCTTTCAGTTGTAAAAGCTACGTTTCTGGAAATAATTAGTTACCTAAGTATTGCTTACTAGTATATTACCACAAGGTCATTACATTCATGAGACAATGCAATCACTCACATGCAGCGCTGCAAGATGGGAATACATTCAGGTTAGGGATGTGTTCAGAGTTGTGTCCTACTAGAAGGATCTCTGACGGTTGCCAGGAAGTGTGTTGAAAATTGATGTCTCTTCTCAAGGTCTTTGGTCATACTAAGATGCCCGTATTTATGGGTGTTAACATTCACAGCTTTTATTTACTATAGTGAAACATCTATCCACAGTGGAGATCTGAGCGTAAGAAATACAATGACTGTTATGAAAACAGATTCATTCCATGGATAATGGTATGTGTGCTTGAGCCTCAGGTCATTTGTCACCATGGTGTACATGGAGATAATCTTTACAGCATCAAACCATCCAATTTATTTGTCTTTTCTAGGTGGATTGAGGGAATTATGCTGTGTCAACCTGGACATTCAAACTGAAAGATTATACAGCACCTGAACAAAAAAAAAACACATGTTTCCAGGCTTATGTCGCTGAGCCTCCTCAATCACAGATACACTTCCCCACTCCCCCGCTGTCATTCTTTAACGGTCCACTTGGGGGCACTGCTGCAGTTGTTGT